CCCCCCCCCCCCGAAAAATCTGAAGTGCCTCCCGAGGTAAAATTTCTGAAATAATCCCTGATGACAATATATTTAAGTCCTTTGGTATTAAATTTGTGAAAACGAGATGTTACATTCTCTTTTTACAAATAAACATATGTTAACCAATTAAGAAAAATCAATGGCGTTAACAAAACGTGGGTAAATTTATATAAGTATAGGCCTACCCATGAATATCAACACCAAATCATTTTACATACTTGAAAATTTAATTTTGAAAAATGGAGATGGGTTAATATTTTCTTTCAAAAAAATGAAAATAAATTTGTGTTTTTACTTTGCGAAAAGTAAAGTAGGTGTATATTATTATGAGATTAACAATTTTTTAAAAAAAAGATATTTAAGATATGTTTTTAAACAATTTTTAGAGAAAAAAAGTTGTAATTCAAGGGCACGAAAAGGGGTAAATCTTAAGTATTTCTCTAGTGTAGAAATCGTCCCTCAATTAACTTCTTTTAGAGACAAAAGTGATATTATTAGTGATCATTTAGATTGGGTAATTTAAGGTCATGTTTAGAGGGGGGGGGAAAGTAGTTTAGGAGCGTGAAAGTGAGTAGGGTAGGCGTATAATATATAGCAGATAAATACTTCACAAAACTTAAAGATGTTAGAAACTTAAATATTATTACATAGATAGGCCTAGTTCTTTTTAAAGACAGGAATAGTGCTGAGTTTTTGCAATAGCAGGTAGAAATTATCGCAAAGGACCTACCATTATTATCCCGATAACATCGGGTCATTTATTTTAGTATTTTAATAAATAGCTATTCAATGCCCCAAATATCTACAATCAGTGAGTGGCGTAGCGAGGCAGGTGCGGGGGATGCGGACCGCACCGGGTGACACCATTTTAGGGGTGACACCCGATTGAAAAATTGCATATTTACAGGGCACACATTGCTCGCAAAAATCGAGATTCATAAAAGAATAACCGATCACACATATATTTTTCACAAATTTAACCAATCCAAATGCGTATATACTGTGGACTGAGTTTACCTAGAAAAAATCGATCATAGAAGTTTGGGGGGGGGGGGTTGACACCATGAGTTTACCGCACCGGGTGACACCAACCCTAGCTACGCCACTGTCTACAATATTTTAATAAATAGCTATACAGTGCTCCAAATGGCTACAATATTTTAATAAATAACTCTGCAGTGCGCCATTATTTCAATAAATACGCCAATGTCTATAATACTTTTTTAATGTAACATTGCGTGTAGCACCACCTTTTACTATTTTTTGTTTTTGTTTCTAGGACCATATTGGCTCAGTTCCAAGAAAAGTCCCCTTTCTCAGTCTTAAGTATCAAGCTCTATTAGTACCTAATTAGAGTGGGTCTTTGCGATAAGGAGAGTCATAGGCAATGCTCTCTCTAAGGTTTGCTTGGTCGCGTGCAAAATCATACAGTTGTGTGCAAAGTTTTACAGCATCAATTTTTTTGTGTGCAAAATTTTACAGCCCACATACACGGAAATTTGCTGAGCGGATACTCAAAACTGCTGCGCGGCATCTGTGAGATAGCTGCGCAGCCGCGCAGCTTAAAGGGAACATTGATCATAGGTATCTCAGACTCATGGATGCCTCAGAGCTTCTGAATGCAGTGTTCCTGGTAATGATTACACATCTGCGGCTGTAAGCACTCTTAACTTAATCATTAAATAATTAACGAGCTTTAAGCAGAGACGAAACAGCTTGGGCACAACCTCATAATTTTACTGCTGTTTATTGAACCAGTTTTTTTGTTTTTTTAAACAGTGAACGGCCAGCTGTAACTTGTTCAAAATGGCTCTCCATATTTGGGGAAATTGTTTTGCCTATCGTCACCACTAAATTTCGAGAAAAAAACATGTTTTTAGCCAGAATGCCACATCTTGAAATTCCAAATTGTGAAAGCTAGATGAAACTGGGTGTTTAGTCACAGTGTCCCTCAATAAGGATTCATGGTTGGGAGATCTAGAAGCATCGGTAGACTGAACATCTGGCTTTCATTCTACTGTTATTGCCATGGAAGATTGTGCGCCTTGGAACTTAAAGGCTGATCAGTTTCTAACTACCCAAAATTGATACCTGGTAAAAGGACTTCTCGGCCTAAACGAGTTTTCTGATGTAGACGTTTCACTGCTCACACTATGATCAGGGCCGTCGTAACAGGATCAGAGACTCTGGGCGACTGCCCAATGTGCCCATGCCTTAATACGGACTTGATTATAATTTATGTTTCTTTTCTTGTTTACAAAACCAAAATTTTCTATCAGTTGGCTAGAATTAGATTCTTACTCAACTCTTTTCTGTATGCCTTTGGCTCAACTATCTCTTAACAGAGCGGTTCTCCATCTGTGGGTCGTGACCCTTTTGGGGTTCGAACGACCCTTACATAGGGGTCACCTAAGACCATCGAAAAACACATAATAATGAAGTAGCAAAGAAAATAGTTTTATGGTTGGGGGCTACCACAACACGAGGGACTGTATTGAAGGGCCGCGGCATTGGGAAGGTTGAAAACCACTGTATTAAACCTTCTGAAGTTATTCATAATAATTTTATGAAACGAGCAGACTAACAATACTTCCTGCTATATTTAAAAAAAAAAAAACACTTTTCCCCCCTTTAATATATATATTATAAGATTATTTCTTTATTGATAAAAAAATTAATGTGGGACCTCAAATTAGCTAAACGTATAAAAACAATGAATCATACAATGGTTAAACGACTGGACATACCTGATTTAATGATCTGGTGGTTACTGTGCTCAAAATTGGTTAACACTTTAGCACTACTCGTTAACATGTTATTTTCTTTATTACAAAAAGGTTAATTCAATTGAAGTAATCTTAACATAAAATTAATAAACAACACCAAATATGCGGCACCGGGCGCCCCCACCCCACCCCTCACTCTAGGTTTGCCACTGGTGTGTCTGTTTTCTTCCATTACTACTAAAAGTACGACAGATAATGTAGCTCATCTAACCAACACGATGCCCTCTCCACCTCAACCAATCAGATCAATGCCCTCTCCACCTCAACCAATCAGATCAATGCCCTCTCCACCTCAACCAATCAGATCAATGCCCTCTCCACCTCAACCAGTCAGATCAATGCCCTCTCCACCTCAACCATTAAGATCAATGCCCTCTCCACATCAACCAATCAGATCAATGCCCTCCCCACCTCAACCAGTCAGATCAATGCCCTCTCCACCTCAACCAATTAGATCAATGCCCTTTCCACCTCAACCAATCAGATCAATGCCCTCTCCACCTCAACCAATCAGGCCCATGCCCTCTCCATCACTCAGATCAATGCCCTCTCCACATCATCAACTCAGATCAATGCCCTATCCATCTCATATTAATGTCATATCCACCTCATCCACTCAGATCAATGCCCTCTCCACCTGGAACAATGCCCTCTCCCCAACATCCACTTAGATCAATCCCCTCTCCCCATCATCCACTTAGATCAATCCCCTCTCCCCATCATCCACTTAGATCAATCCCCTCTCCCCATCATCCACTTAGATCAATCCCCTCTCCCCAACATCCACTTAGATCAATACCCTCTCCCCATCATCCACTCAGATCAATGCCCTCTCCCCACTATCCTCAGATCAATGCCCTTTCACCATCATCCACTAAGATCAATGTCGACTCAACCTCATCTGTTCATTTCAATTCCCTCTCCACCTCATCCACTCAGTTCTATGTCCTCTCATGCCTCCTACACAAACATATCAATAAATTATTTCACTTTGATTTTTTTTAATTGAACTGCTTGCTATTTAACACATACAAAATAATTTTACCAACAAAAGTACTTGATTGCAAATTTTTTCTAAAAGGCCTTATAGTTTTTAAACCATTCTGTTTACATAAAAGAACAATACAACTAAACTTAAGTTGAATGAAATCCAATTCTCTAGTTTCTTATTTACTTGTTTAAATACTAGCTGTTTACATTAAAATTAAAAGGTAAGTAGCTCTTGATAAAATGATATGTAAAGTCAGATAAATGGAATATTTTGAAATCATTGCTAATTTTTACAAACACATTTCAAATTCCTTGCTTCTGGTTTATAAATATTGACACTGCACAATTTATGTTGCACAATTTATGTCTCATGTAAATACTTTTTGGAGAAGTGTCCTGGGAGAAACTAATTCAAACCTTTGCCATTTAATTCATTCATACAATCTTCCTCCCTGAGCGTTGCTTGAAACAGAGACCAAGGAAAGCTCCATCTGTATATCAGCTGCCTTCGTAGAAGCTGATACCAGTGTCAGACTTCTATTCCACTTGTTGTTCTGATATATTCTATGGCTCTTTTATGGTTTTATTTTCCCTTGAATGCCCATCTAAGAGATGTCTTAAGTGAGTGTTGACAGTCAACAAACATGATCAAGGAATTTGAATGATGGGCATCTCAGTTCTTCATAGTAGATTGTCACTTGGCAACAGGTTATATGAATCCTGTGTAAGTCTTAGGTCTGGAAAACTTCCGTTGTGATTAGCTTGTGGGCATCCAGCACATCTGTAGAGGAGAACACTCCAGAAATGTCTTTGAATTTTCTGGTCTCGGTGTGGATGCCCAGACTACTTGATATCCATAAGGATTTCAGCATTCTAAATGAAAATGCTTCATTTGCTTTGCTGATCCTTGGTTATGACATTGGCAACTTGTTACCTTTCTCAACAACAACATTAACAAATGTATATTTATCTAAAATTTATATTGGCACTTGAAATCACTGTTAAAAAGTGTAGAATTGTAAGAATATATCAAACAAACAAAAAAGCTTTAGCATGTTATTTAAGCCATTTGATATGAACATTTTTTAAAATTATGAGATCTTGTAAATAATCACATCAATAATTTGTAACAAAGACAAATTTAATAAATAACTTTGAAATGATTTCTTCAAATTGTGTCACAGCCATACTATAGCAGTGATGCAATTTTACTTAGCACTAAAATCAGTGATATATTTGCAACATTCAACTTCATTTAATGAACAGTCATGGACTTCATTACAAAAAAGTCAAGGCAAAAATTTGTTATGAAATCAATGTTTTTTTTCCTCATCAAGCAACAGTTTTAACTTCTTTTAGGTTTTGATTGATGAACGATTCCTTCGGCCAACTGATGAATGGGTTTGTTTTCATAGAGCTCAGGGAGAGAACTATCAGTAGGAGTTATGACATTGTTGATCATCGCCTTGGCCACTGTCCTTACGGGAGCAGAGAGCAATGTTGGGAAACAACTTGTGATTGGTTTAAGTAGAGCAATACTAACTTTTTCCATAGTCCTCCTCTCTGTTCTGTCACAGAGAAGCATCCTGAGAACAGATAGAGATTTTTAGCATTGGGTACGTAAGAGAAATCTGAGATTCTAGAATGTTAAATGACTTACCAAATATTTTTTAAAGGTACCTGTACTCAATATATTTTTATGCCATTGCATATGTTAAAATTTACCTAGTCTCACTTACTTACCCTGGCCTGAATATAGAGAAACGTTCAAATTTCATGTCTGCTAGAGTAGCCTCTACTTCACCCTGAATAGGAAAGTAAATAAGAAAATTTTTGTAGTTGAATTTACGTGTTCACAATTAATTCAAACCCTCATATTGAAAAACTGTATCAGGAGTCATGTTAATATATTGCTTACTGGTTACTGGAAGATTGGTTAATGAAAGATTGATTACTGTAAGATTGGTTAATCAAATATTGGTTAAAGAAAGATTGGTTACTGAAACATTGGTTAGTGAAAGATTTGTTAGTGAAAGATTGGTTAGTGGAAGATTGGTTAGTGAAAGATTGGTTAGTGAAAGATTGGTTAGTGAAAGATTTAATATAAAACTGTAAAGATTTTGTTGAAGATCCATGCATATGAAAATGTGGGTTAACGCAAGAAATTACAGGTAAAATTGAGATGATAAAAATAGTGTTCTCTGAGGAAATTAAAGACCCACTCATTGTGACTACCCATCTGTTGAACCACAACACTCTTGAACTTACCTTAATCTTTGGGTAGAGCAAACAGCTGTTCTTATCAGCTCCCATACTGGACACTAAGGAAAAATGCTTGCATCCCTGAGACTTGGCGACTTCTGCTGTGTTCAACACATAGTCACGGTCAACTCTGATAAAACCATCCTGCCATGGAATAATCACTGTCAATTGTGATAAAACCGTCCTATCATGGAATATTTCCATTAAAAATATATAGTAAATAATTTATTACCCTCCCCCTCCCTACCTACAAAATGTCATGCCACTGCTCTGCAATCCGTTTTTATCAGGTTTTTCAATAGTGAGAGAGTCATGTGAAACAAAAAATGCATTGTCTTACAAGCTTTCTCATTACAAACATATTGACTTGTCTTATTTCACTGCATTATAAATTAGAACAACTCAAAATTAGCTATAATTTAAAATACAATATAAATACCCTAAGGCTTAAGCTTAAGATTAATGTAATCTTAACTGTGCAACCATTTATTTTTTCTCATCTATTCACAAATTTTCTAGGGCTGCCGCCATCATGTTGAAAATGATTCCCTATCCTTCCCTTTTTGATATTATAATAAGGGGTTTTCCAATATCTTGTTTTTTTTATATCAATTTTTTTTTAGTTTTGCCAGCACTACTTTTAATTAGTTAAAAAGCTCTGGGCTATATTTTGTGAGGAAAAGATATAAAATTTACATTACTAATTTTTATGAGATTCCAATGTGAGCCAAATTTAATAATTTAATCATTTTAATATTTATATGATGCACGCTTATCTGTGAGTTTAGAATTTCCAATTTTAAAAATATGCAAACAGGGGGTAGCTTTTTTCTTGATATAAAATAGCTGGTTATTTCTCCTAGACATATCGCCAAACTTGATATTAAAAAAATCTTAAAATGGCTAAGCTGCCAATGGGTACCAACAAATATTTGTTATGTTTGATATCCTATTTATGAGCCATTTTTGTAATTGACGAATTGGGTTGTGTGCTATGATAGTACAATTATAAGCCTAAGTAAGCAATTTCTTAAACAAAAAAAGCGTTTTGGAATTTTTGATGCTAAAAATATGCTAACAAATGTGTTCATCTTTTACTTTTTGGATGAATATCTGGCAGAAATTTTGTCAAGCATGTTTGAAAACAAGATACTATTTTTTAAATCAAATTTTTTAAATCTTTAATTTTAAGTAATTATTATTATTATAAATCTCAGTCTCAGTTAGAATTCAACGTTATTTAGGCCTAAACTCACCCTGCCCGACTTGCCCCTGGTTGTACCCAGACAACAAAATCCTGTGTCAAGGCCATTAAAAATTTCTTTGTGCTCATGTATTTTGTCAAAGTCCACAACTTTCTGTTCCTGTAAACATGCAACAGTGACAGCAATCAATATTGGCCTACATTATTATTTTCTTTTAAATTGGATGGTGAATGACTGCCATGATTCAATGACGTTTAAATAGATTAACTTTATTTATAAAAAATATTTTTAAAGATACCGGGTAGTTAACAATTGACAATCACACGCGATTTTCATTAAATTCAAATATAAGGCAGGGTAAAAGTAAGAGCCGTATCCCTGTAATTAACTTATTATAATTAATATCTTGTTACTTAGTATACTTTATTGTCGTTATTATAATTATAAGTATACAACTATAAGTTACTTTAGGTGTAAGTTATAAGTTTGACTAGGTTGGTAATATTAGTGAGAAATTACTAAAGACTTGTACTACTATGACAAGCACTTCTATAAATGTGATATCACTAAATATCAATCATTTTGGTAACATAAAAATTTGCTAACAAGGAATTCAAATAAAATGGAGGAAAAACCTGGATCCCTCTACTGTAACCTGATAAAGGGAAATAATGGAGTTGCAATGCTGATGGCATGGTCAGTAACATCTTAAAAATGAAAAGCCATTTAAAGGCAAGCATTCTTTTGTTCAAACTTGTTGATTTGGGTGACATTGAGCGATATTCATTGATGACTGATATACCTTAATTATTTTCTTCGCTTCAAAATTTAAAAAAAAAAAGCCAAAAATTAAATATACATTTTCCACAATGGAACAGAAAAACTTACAAACTCTTGTCCCACATCAAGTGCCACTTCCCTTCGTCCTATCAATACCACACGTTGGAAGATCTTCTGTTTGTTGAGTTCGTCAACAAGAACCTTCCCGACTTCTCCAGTGTAGCCCACAACAAAAGCTGAGTGGCCTAACGAACGAAATCTATCCATTTCTGTCACACTAGCTTCATCCAACATTCTGTGGAATGTTTACAAAGAAATGCGCATTTTGAATGGTCCTGGTTATAATATAATGTCATGGTATGACGTCATGTCATTTTCAACTCTTTTTGTGGATCCCCTTTCCCTGGTTTAACCGCCCTCCTCCCAAACACCACCCGTGTCATTTATTGTCAACATGACGTCACATAAAACTCCTAATTTTGTGTTGCCAGTATTCACATCTGGTTAATATGAAGGGCGCATCCATTATGATGTTACGAATCGGGAGGAGGGGGGATTCACTATTTGGTGACGAACTATTCTGAGGGTGTCTTAATCATCTGACACATTTGTGACGTTAAGGGAAAAGGGGGGGGGGGGTTCCAAAAATCTGCTAAAATAGCGGGACGTCTTTCATAAAAGGCCACTTATATATTTAAAAAAAATAATTAAAACTAGTCGGCCCGCGGCGTAGCCTACGCCGCAGGGAATTGCTTATAGGTGAGTGAAGACTTTGTGAAGACACAGTTGTCCTAATCGGGTGGGTTTAAGGATACAACTGTGATATAACCGGCTAAACTTTTGCGGCAGCAGAGCGTGAACTTCCAATCATACACTAAAGTTACTTGACAAAACTTGAACTCAAGTAACGCACATTTAAGAATCCTAATTTTTTTACAACACCCCTTCCCCCCATGATACTCCGCTGCACACTTTTTATTTCACGCCCATGAACTATATTAATATTCTCATGTCCCAACCACTTTTAAACCGAATATTTTTGACACAATACTTAAATTGAGACGATTTCATTTCCGAAAAGAAAATATTACGCACCAAACGCAATTGCGTTATTAAGAATAGATATACATCATTTAGCGTAGTTATCGGGAATTATATTTTGCGCGCTATTGAACTCATTATTGAACCACGCTCTGGCGTATCTAAAAATAGCCTGCTTGGTGTTTATCCCGTCTTTGTTTGACCTTTGTTGGCGAATTATATATATAGATTGTTTAATCTTAGTCTTAGGTCATTAATCAATTGGAAGTTTGGCTTTGAAGATCAGATTCAGAAATAACAGGCATCGTTATTTCCGTGTGTTCTGTTGTGTATGGTCAACACTCTGGCCTCTTTATTCAAAGAAAAGGTGGTTGAGAGTCATTCAGAGCATTCTAGTTGCCACCTTACCAACGATTATTTTTAATAAAGAAATTATTGACCGTTCACACGCAGTGGCGTAGCTAGTGTTAGTGTCCACCCGGGGCGAGCCAAGCTAGTGTTAGTGTCCACCCGGGGCGAGCCAAGCTAGTATTAGTGTCCACCCGGGGTGAGCCAAGCTAGTGTAAGTGTCCACCCGGGGCGAGCCAAGCTAGTGTTAGTGTCCACCCGGGGCGAGCCAAGCTAGTGTTAGTGTCCACCAGGGGCGAGCCAAGCTAGTGTTAGCGTCCACCCGGGGCGAGCCAAGCTAGTGTTAGTGTCCACCCGGGGCGAGCCAAGCTAGTGTTAGCGTCCACCCGGGGCGAGCCAAGCTAGTGTTAGTGTCCACCCGGGGCGAGCCAAGCTAGTGTTAGTGTCCACCCGGGGCGAGCCAAGCTCCCCCCACCCCCCCACACACACACTTTTTAAAATATTTTCCCCACGAAGCATCCTGCATGCATTGTTTCATGTTTCTAGAGCCCCGCTGGCCGCTGGACAGGTCGATTCAAAGTCAAGTGCACGTGGACCAAACACAAAATTGTCAGGATACTTGGAGAATCCGTCGAAAAAATGTGCGGTACGCCGTTCGGATGCGTTCTAAAATCGCTGTGTATATGCATTATTATATTATAATAGGTATCATTTTCCGGATTTCATGTAAAACTTTGAAGCAGGCAGGGAAATGATAGTTGATGATTTTATTTACTTATAGTTTCATAGGGAATACAAACAATTACTAAGAGCGTCATTCTCATTCTACTCTGGAGTAGGAGATGTAGATCAGGGGTCCTTACACATAGCGCCCCAGACAAGAAGGAACTGGGCCGCACCGTGGCAATGAGAGAGCGCGTTTGTTGCACGTGAATCAAACTCAAAACATTTCCTCCACGGTCCGTGGCAAATTTTTCTTCCACAAAAACCAGTCCTGTTGCTTAAAAAAGTTGGGGACCTCTGCTGCAGAACATTGTTTTCGACTCATTTAGCCTTTCGATGTTAGCCTCAATAACTTACTACATTAATGAGCTTTTCAAGGTTAGCGTCAACAACTAACTACATTAGTTTAGCCTTTCAAGGTTAGCCTCAACAACTAACTACATTAGTAACAATTCCTTAATTATTTTTGTTAAGGAACAACATGCAATGCGGTAACAAATCTTATTTCAGTCATCAAGTAATGATATTTCTTTTATTTTCTAAAATAAAGTTATTTCTTTTTTTACAAGCAAGAAATCTCATAATAATTGAAGGACTGAATTCAAGTTATGTGATGTCCAGTTCGCTGAAAAAGTCTCTAAGTCTAATCGAAACATTCACATCTTATTGTCATGTCTTTTGATTCGAGCTTTAACTTGAACACACACCCTGTTCTACTATTTCAAGAAATCACATACACATTTCGCCTTCTATTTCTTATTACCCTACTTGAATCTGTCGTGGTCATACAGTTCACCATTTAAAAACTCTAATTCATTGTTTCCAAACCTTCTATATAGTACAACGCAGCCCCTTCTATGGTACAACGCAGCCCCTTCTATGGTACAACGCAGACCCTTCTATGGTACAACGCAGACCCTTCTATGGTACAACGCAGCCCCTTCTATGGTACAACGCAGACCCTTCTATGGTACATCGCAGACCCTTCTATGGTACAACGCAGACCCTTCTATGGTACAACGCAGGTCCTCGCCTTAAAAGAGTTATTTTTCAAGTCACTCACCCCCAAGACAAAAACAACAACAACCCCCCCCCCCCCAACTCTACCGAAGAAAACAAGAGTCCCCCACCTTCTATAGTATAACGCAGACCCTTCTATGGTACATCGCAGACCCTTCTATGGTACAATGCAGCCCCTTCTATGGTACAACGCAGGTCCTCGCCTTAAAAGAGTTATTTTTCAAGTCACTCACCCCCAAGACAAAAACAACAACAACCCCCCCCCCCCTGAAGTATGCCGAAGAAAACAAGTGTCCCCCGGGGCGGATCACTCCCTCCACACACCTTCCCAAGTTACTCCCTGAAACGCAACCTCGCACTCCCCTGGGGGCGGTGCAGGGACTCCCCAATTGGGGAAAACGCTGCTTTAAATCTTCAAGCCACGGAGTTGGAAGTCTACGAAGCAAAAGAATTATAGTCAGATCACAAATCTAAGAGATGACACAAAGACTGTTCAAATAGTAGTACAAGTTATTTCGTCAGCATGGCTCAAATTGTATTTACTTACCAAAATCATCTGGAAAAAGTCACAGCTCAGAACAGCTGTATGTGAGTAACAATTATAATGAACAATCCATTTTAAATGAGATCAGTGGATGGTGATCCACAAATAAGAAATACCCTGCGTTGTGTTAAGTGTAGACTGTGTGAAGGAAATTGAAGTAGACCAAAGTCCAACACACAACACTACGAGTATCGTTTCTGTATTCGAACTGTATTGGTTTCGTGCTCCTCACATGCGTCAGAAGTGCACACAAATCATTCGACCTTAAACTGTAGGCTTCATCAAATTGTGCAAGCTTTGGTCACCTACACAAAAACCTTAGCCAATTATCTTATTTAACTTTAAAGTGATGTTAACTATAAATATTCATTTCGCATGACATTCATACAAACGTGATATTTGAATTTTATCTCGGCCAGTAGGTCTAGGCCATACAGATCAACACAGAGATGCGTAGTAAATGTAAGTAGAAGAGTACCGGTACTTACACAAAAACGAAAATGAAGTGTATGTCTCCTAGACTTGCTGGTGTGTATCTACGTTAGACACTCAATGCTGTCAGCGTGTAGGGTACACATGGGCCTGACAAGAGATAAACTGTCGAGTCATACAGAGTACAGACCCGATCAATGGACTGTGGCGAGGTGATTAGTATGTTTGCTTTGACGGTACATTATCATTGGTGGATTATATGGGGTAGCTAGGGTTAGTGGCGCCCGGGGCGAAACCGCCCGTCCACCCCACCCTTCATGCGCCAGTGTAGGTTGGCCCTCCCCTCATTGACTGTATAGACTCATCAATGGAGTGGCGAACTGGTTAGTCTGCAATAGACAATCAGTGGCGAATGGTGTGGACCATCCACTCTTTTTCGTTACAACTTTAACAATGTATTTATTGAGCAAGAGCTTATGTAGCTTTTTTTTTATTAGAACTCTCTTGTCATATTTCTGGACTCCATATATTTGAGTTCCCCTGTTTTAAAGTAGGCTTACTAACTTACCAAAGGCCCTACTGTCAGGACCTATGCGAGTGATGTGTCGCTGGATGGGGGTGAGCGGAAAATCACGGGGAAAGTCACAAGTTTTGTAAGGGGAAAGTCACAAGTTTTGTAAGGGGAAAGTCACAAGTTTTGTAAGGGGAACGTCACAAGTTTTGTAAGGGGAAACTCACAAGTTTTGTAAGGGGAAAGTCACAAGTTTTGTAAGGGGAAAGTCACAATTTTGTAAGGGGAAAGTCACAAGTTTTGTAAGGGGAAAGTCACAAGTTTTGTAGGGGGAAAGTCACAAGTTTTGTAGGGGGAAAGTCACAAGTTTTGTAAGGGGAAAGTCACAAGTTTTGTAAGGGGAAAGTCACAAGTTTTAAAGGGGAAAGTCACAAGTTTTGTAAGGGGAAAGTCACAAGTTTTGTAAGGGGAAAGTCACAAGTTTTGTAAGGGGAAAGTCACAAGTTTTGTAAGGGGAAAGTCACAAGTTTTGTAAGGGGAAAGTCACAAGTTTTGTAAGGGGAAAGTCACAAGTTTTGTAAGGGGAAAGTCACAAGTTTTGTAAGGGGAAAGTCACAAGTTTTGTAAGGGGAAAGTCACAAGTTTTGTAAGGGGAAAGTCACAAGTTTTGTAAGGGGAAAGTCACAAGTTTTGTAAGGGGAAAGTCACAAGTTTTGTAAGGGGAAAGTCACAAGTTTTGTAAGGGGAAAGTCACAAGTTTTGTAAGGGGAAAGTCACAAGTTTTGTAGGGGGAAAGTCACAAGTTTTGTAAGGGGAAAGTCACAAGTTTTGTAAGGGGAAAGTCACAAGTTTTGTAAGGGGAGAGTCACAAGTTTTGTAAGGGGAAAGTCACAAGTTTTGTAAGGGGAAAGTCACATTTTAAAAAAGTGACTCTGTTTTACTCATTTTATTTTAAAAAAGGTAAAGAATAACTTTGTATCAGCCCCTAATTGTATTTGTGTAAGTCCCTATAAATGTTCATTGTAAACTAAATCTCAGTAAATGGAAGTAAGAAGAGACGGCTCATTGGGAGCGTGGCTTAGTTCTCGCTTGGAATTAAAGACGTGTGTGTGTTACTTGTGTTATGTATACATATCATAGTCAGACGTTTAACTCTATGATTTATTCATATATATATAGTGACATTGTCATGCATGATGCCAATAAACATCAATATTACAGATTGAACAATAAAAAAAATGGTAGTATGCTAAGCTATTGCGCAGAGATTAAGCTTTCTCCCAAAAGAATTGTGATTATCGCCCTCTAATCTTCCTAGACACATCTCATATAATAAAGAAATCAAAGAAAATCAAGGGGCATTGCATCGCGGTAGTTCGATAGTGAAAACACAATCCACACAGAGCATCCGATCTTGTCAGAAATTAAAGGTGTGCTCCTCGGCTGTTCTCATAAAAAGAATTCATAATTTTTTTTTGTTTATAATGTTGTACTGTCAGAACTATCTATTGATTTATTCATGTGATACTCATTCTAGGATTGGCCTAGTGAGCCACTCGTCAAAGTGTAGAACTATAGAGCTACTCCATAAAGTGGAGAACTATAGAGCTACTCCATAAAGTGGAGAACTATAGAGCTACTCCATAAAGTGTAGAACTATAGAGCTACTCCATAAAGTGTAGAACTATAGAGCTACTACATAAAGTGTAGAACTATAGAGCTACTCCATAAAGTGTAGAACTATAGAGCTACTCCATAAAGTGTAGAACTATAGAGCTACTCCATAAAGTGTAGAACTATAGAGCTACTCCATAAAGTGTAGAACTATAGAGCTACTCCACAAAGTGTAGAACTATAGAGCTACTCCATAAAGTGTAGAACTATAGAGCTACTCCATAAAGTGTAGAACTATAGAGCTACTCCATAAAGTGTAGAACTATAGAGCTACTCCATAAAGTGTAGAACTATAGAGCTACTAAAAGTGTAGAACTATAGAGCTACTCCATAAAGTGTAGAACTATAGAGCTACTCCATAAAGTGTAGAACTATAGAGCTACTCCATAAAGTGTAGAACTATAGAGCTACTCCATAAAGTGTAGAACTATAGAGCTACTCCATAAAGTGTAGAACTATAGAGCTACTACATAAAGTGTAGAACTATAGAGCTACTCCATAAAGTGTAGAACTATAGAGCTACTCCATAAAGTGTAGAACTATAGAGCTACTCCATAAAGTGTAGAACTATAGAGCTACTCCATAAAGTGTAGAACTATAGAGCTACTCCACAAAGTGTAGAACTATAGAGCTACTCCATAAAGTGTAGAACTATAGAGCTACTCCATAAAGTGTAGAACTATAGAGCTACTCCATCGTCTCACGAAGACGGAAGGATGCCATATACTCATAAAAGCATTTTTTTTTTTAATGCGCCTGATTTACTTTTTTTTTCCGATCACCTTTCTTCCTGTGAATTTTGTTCCATTTACTGTTAGAGTTGATCATAAACATTTATTTGGACATGCAAATAAAGTTACAGTTTATAAAAAAAGTTTTTCTGTGACTATTTTTCCTATAATCCAATTTTGAACTTTTGACCCAGGCCTCATATTCAAAGAACCAGCAAACTGCTGACGTATTCATAAATAAACTTACTGCAAGAATTAAATGGAGCTTGACGGGCTCAAAAACAAGCAGAAGTTTAGCTTAGTTACTAAGTCGTCTAAGTTAACTAAGTATGGACTTGATACCAACCGTGCTCTGAAATGTACTATGACATGTCGACATGTGCGACGACTAGGCCATCCGACAAGGACGACTGGACAAATTAAATTATATCAAACACAGGTTGAAACCCGAACAACTAATGAACTATTCTTACCGACCGGGAAAAGGCTCCCCCAACCGGGACCATCCCGTCAAGCGTATGGTTGGCCTATTTAAAAATCGTTTTATTATTATTTTTGTGGAGTCATCCTCCAAAGCTTTCAAGGAATAGCCTACAAACTTAACATGGGTTTAGTAACACATAGTTAATAATGTAATGATCGTAAGCCAATGGGTTACACATAACACTATGCCCCGTCTCTAGCCACCAGCTTTCCACCTCTGTCATTAGTTTACCATAACGGCTTTATTCAAAGATTCGGCTTGATGTTGTCGCCAGGCGCCTGTCCTCCCGCCACTCTTGTTGACCCTCTTTTGAGTGAGATAGGCCTACTTGGCTTCAGGGCTGATTGAGTCACAGCTTAATGAGTCACAACATATTGAGTCACGTCTTATTGGATCACAGCTTTATGAGTCACAACATATTGAGTCACATCTTATTGGGTCACAGCTTAATGAGTCACAACATATTGAGTCACATCTTATTGGGTCACAGCTTTATGAGTCACAACATATTGAGTCACATCTTAATGAGTCACAACATATTGAGTCACAACATATTGAGTAACAACTTATTGAGTCCTTGCCGATGGAGTCACATCTGATTAGGTCACATCTTATTGAGTCACAACGTATTGAATAACAACTTAATGAGTCACTGCCGATTGAGTCACAACTTATTGAGTCACAACTTATTGAGTCACAACATATTGAGTCACAACTTACTGTGTCACAACTTACTGAGTCACGGTTTATTGAGTCACAGCTTATTGAGTCACGGCTGATTGAGTCACAACTTATTGAGTCACGGTTTATTGAGTCACGGTTTATTGAGTCACGTCTGATTGAGTCACAACTTATTGAGTCACGGCTGATGAGTCACAGCTTATTGAGTCACTTATTGAGTCACGGGTGATTGAGTCACAGCTTATTGAGTCACAGCTGATTGAGTCACAGCTGATTGAGTCACAGCTGATTGAGTCACAGCGTATTAAGTCACAGCTTATTGAGTCACAGCTTATTGAGTTATGGCTGATTGAGTCACATCTTATTGAGTCACAGCTTATTGAGTCAGCCTATTGAGTCACAGCTTATTCAGTCACCGCTTATTGAGTCACGGCTGATTGAGTTATGGCTGATTGAGTCACATCTTATTGAGTCACAGCTTATTGAGACACGGCTAATTGAGTCACAATTTATTGAGTAACAACTTATTGAGTCACGGCTGATTGAGTCACAGCTGATTGAGTCACAGCTTATTGAGTCACAGCTGATTGAGTCACAACTTATTGAGTCACAGCTGATTGAGTCACAGCTTATTGAGTCACAGCTTATTGAGTCACGGCTGATTGAGTCACAACTTATTGAGTCACAACTTATTGAGTCATGGCTGATTGAGTCACTACTTATTGAGTCACGGCTGATTGAGTCACAACTTATTGAGTCACAACTTATTGAGTCACGGGTGATTGAGTCACAGCTTATTGAGTCAGAACTTATTGAGTCACAGTTGATTGAGTCACGAGTCACTACTTATTGAGTCACGGCTGATTGAGTCACAACTTATTGAGTCACAACTTATTGAGTCACGGGTGA